CACACTGCACTGACAGGCTCCATATAACAGCAATGGGCCCTCGGCTTCCTCATGGTGCTCAGAGAGGAAGCTGGGGACAGTTMATGGCCCCAGTGCTCTCTCTGCTCTGTAATCATGGTAGATGTGAAGACTGCAAGAATTATAGTGCTTTGTACATCCATTATTTGGATGAAAGACCCTTTATAGACACTTTATCCTAAACAGCACAGCTATTTCTGTAATGAGCATCATGTAGCAACTTACCGGGCCTGGGCCGCGTTTGCTCCGGGCGCAAACGTGCAGCGCCGCTTCTCCTTCCGAGGGCAGTCGCCACCTCTGCACAGCGAGGCCAAACTCRCAGGCAGTGCTGGTTACTGAAAGGGCTGTCATGTCCCTGGTGCCCCCAGAGAATATTGATTCCCCTGGTTATCGAAGGGCACTTGCCTAGTCCCGGCTTGTCATAACGTTACATCTTGCCCCAGTGAGCAAGATCTCACTGCGCCAGCGAGGTCTGCAACTCGCAGCAGAGCTGGGACTTGTGGATGACAAATAGCAGTAAAAAGCTGCCATCTCCCAGTCCAGTTTGTCTGAGGAGAAAGACTTTACTTGAGTTAACACTTCACACCATCCTCAGCTGAGGTTAGTAACTATTGTATGTTCCTATTTTAGGCAACCTACTTAATATTCTTACAGTTAAAAATAATCTTTGATATAGAAACAGTTCTAGCGGTTATGATCTAAAACAGATTGTAATTCAGAAACAGATTAAAAGTCATGGGCCAGTGTAAAGAAAATGAATTTCTTCTCAGGACTCACTTCCATGTTTAGAATGGTTATGAATAATTCCACTAATAYTATTTTAGAAACAATCTGAAACTAGTTATTTCCTAACTTTATTTTGCATCAAAGTGGGGGAAGCAGTACTGTTTCATATCTTTTTAAATTCTCCAGTGAAAAAACCTTTCGTCTTATCCAGATCAAAGGCACTACCATCCTTTTATATCTTCTATAAATAACAGCAGGCTCATATGGATAATTTTGCAATTTACATAATGGCTATTTTCTTGCAAAGGGCATGATCTAACTTCCATTAAAGTGAATCGACATTTAGCATTTTATTTGAATATGAGTTGTCAATCCCTCATTAAAGAAGCTAACTAATGTAAACTACAGTGACACATGCATTATCAAGCCTCAGAAATGCTCATCCAATTATGAAATGAAGTTTCTGATCACTGCATGGTCATCCTAAAAGTTTATGCACAGTCTAATACTACATAATTGTTATTTATTCACTGAACTCTGTTTGGAACTAAATTAGCTCCCAGGAACAGGGCACAAACTAATTCTAGAGTAGCCCTAGCGACTATAAGCACTTAATACAGAATGACATTTTCTGTCAAATGGGTTTTAAACATGGACATTTCATGACAGCACATTTTGGTCTTGCTTCTTAYATTTACATATGCAAATGAAAAGGAACCTTATTTATATCTCACATATATGTTAGATATTTGAGGATTATTCCTCAAAAAAATTTTTTTGAAGTTTTGGGTTTCTACAGCAGTTGCTGGAGAGCAGGGAGGTCTGTCCAGGGCTGGATTAAGGATATTGTTTGGAGCCTCCTCTGCACGGTGCTGGAGAGCAATCAGCCTCATGCTACTGAACATCTGTTTGTGCTKCACAAACACCGCTCCTAATCACCATGGACCAAATCCCATTTATTTGGTCCAGTACTGATTTAACTTGGGATTTATTCCACCCATTCCTTACTTTATTGTTTGGCTGCTTTAGATGAAAGAAAGGATTAAAGAAGGATGCTGCYACATTTACAGATCGCTTCCAGAGCAATTCATTAAAAGACAAATATTCATCACGTTATGGAAATAGTTTAAAATAGATCATGCACCAGGATTTTCTTTCTAAATATCATTTGCTGCAATTTGTATCAATAAGAGCAATTTCTCAAACCTGATTATGATTTTTTCCTACAAATATGCAAAGAATTGCATGGAATTATTTCCTTCTAGTGAAGGAAATCTGCATCTAAAAACACACTGCCATGCAGCTTCATTCTTAGGCACTTAAAACTAGTTTACATCACCTCTCTCACAGTATTCTCCTCTCCTTAGGACCTCAAAGACATTACATTTTCTTAGCCAATGCAGCCTGTGTTTTTGAAAGCATGAATAATCTGACGTGCCCTTTTAAGTGCTGCTCTACAGATGGAGAGCACAGAGGGGCTGTTCTGTGGTTCCAGGTGCTGCACTTCCCGAGGGAGGGGAGCCAAGGAGAATGGGAGCTCTATGACATCTAAGGTGAATAGGGTAGAGGACTGACGCCCTCTCAGAAATATATTTGCATCAATGGTTGAAAAATATTACAATATTATGGTACTGTTGGAAACTACAGTCTKCCTACTCGAGAAAAACCTTTTAATGGCATACAAAGATTATAGCAAAGAAAATACTTATGGCAGAGAGGAGTGAGAACCCAGCAGGTGCTGACTTCATACAGCCAGGAACAGTTTTATGCAGGTGGACTTCTCTCTAAGTCTTTGAAAACATGTTTTGAATCGTCTCACTGACAGACATTGGCAAAAAAGCTGCCCCAGTAAAATTGAATTGTCTATTCCTTTCCTTAGAAGGAATGAACGATAAAAATACATCCGCGATGTCACTGAAGTTCACCGTGTAACATCTGTGCTGCAGAATGGTTTAAAAGTAGCACGGTGTGAGCAGAAATGGTGCTACTCACAGTTTTGCACTGTTCCGCATCAGCAGAGGTTTTATATTTGGGACATCTAAAAGCATGTTTTGATTACCAGTCATTTGCTGCTTAAGAGTTAATATATTTGAGACCAGGATAAACTGTGGTGTTTGGCATTGAAACTAAATGGGATTTGTGCTGCTTTTACTTATCTCTTCTTCTCCTTATTTACTCTTCCCAGTCAGTTTTCAGAGAAACTCCTTATTCTCACACACGCTGCTCTGCTTATGCAGAGCGCCTTGTGCAGGGCAGCCTGCGAGAGCATCCTGCTCTACAGGCAGCTCAGGCCTCTGCTCTGCACAGTTTGGCACCTCTTCTGCTTGTGTGCGCTCAAAATAACAACAGCCAAGAGGGGCTGGTTAGTTAATTGCTTTTTTGAACCGATTAAAGTTTGAAATCTGTTTATTGCATACAATAATTATAACAAAGACAACCTGGTGGGTATGACCTATAAAAAGCAAATGGTACGAGTGCACTTGGAAAAGTCAAACCACAATAAGAAGCAGCACAGATGGCGCATGGCCCTGTTTACATACACAAAATTAACAGTATGGGATCCAATTAAGAAGGTGGAGATAGTCATCATCACATTAGCCAGTAATTTCCAGCATATGTAAACCTAAGACTTCACCATTTCCTTCTCAGGCTGCTGAGGCTGAACTTAACCCATTCCTTTGGATTCCAGTAATGGGATGGTGGTGAAAGGTGACAGGAGAGCGTGAAGGGCAGCAGATAAACGGCAGGCAGGGCAGCGGTGTTCTGGAGCCTCCTGGCCAGGGCGGACACTCCTCTTGTGGCCTGAGCCACCAGCCCCGTTCTGTTGAGCCACCAAAGAGTAAGATTCAGTTGTGAAAGGGAAAATATCATGGCCCTTTCTGTTGCCAAACTGCATGCTTGCAAGAGAAGCGTTATTTCTACTCTTCTCTGCCCTACGAATTCTAACAGAGTTTATCCATGACAGCACTTGGTGCTTTGAGGAGTTAAGCTGATGCATCTTTATGCAGCGGGGTTTATATTTGTCTTTGGTATCCTTGCTGCACATGGTCAAATGCCTTCTTTTTCTACTGCTAACAACGGATCCAATACTGAGAGCTGTCTTGTGGTGAAAAGCACCTTGTAGGGTGTCCTCCCTTCACAGATAGGCGTGCAGAAACCATCAGAAATGTCTCGTGCCCACAAACGGGATAACACTGCAGGGATTACCCCTTAGTGGCTGCAGTCAGCTTAGCAGCTTCCTTCACCAAAGCTGTTACCTGCACAGTCGCAGTGACACTGGTGACACCAGCGAGCCGCTCGTAGCAACAGTCCTCRCTGGGAGCCCGTGCGTCCCCGGGGGGCAGCGCTGGGCCCGGCGCGCTCTTACCGCTCCCTTTCCGACAGGACTTAACCTACCCTTGGGATTACAGCTCTGTCTTTTCGAGAGACACGATTAAACTCTAATAAAATCAACACTTAAACAATTAAATAGAGTTTTAAAAAGCTCTAATCCCCTCAAAGAAAATTTTCATCCCCGTTAATGACTGCGAGCTGAAATGCTATGCGTTTAATGAGTTTATCCAAGGAAACTCTGAGAAGGCTCCTAATGCCCTAGTATAGAAATACTGTACTGCATCTGAACTTGCTTTTACATATTTAAGAAATTATTACTTGTATTTAAAATACGTACATTAGCTAAGAAGTAATTTGTATAATAAATTGCATCAGCAGATGCAACTCTTTTGTGGAGTTAAATGTTCTGTTTTAGCAACAAGTATACAAAAACATGAGCTCTTTTGGCCGTTTCTTTTGCCAAAATTCATCTCGCACTCACAATATATGGGAGGATTTTGATAATATAAAATTTTTTTACAACTGCTGTCACTTTGTTAAATATCAGATGCTGACTAACTTCCTAAAAGAAACCACCAATTTAAAGAATAGTTGAATTCTACCACGACAGAACAAGCAGAAGCTGCTGTTTGTAAGAAAATTAAATAAAACAGATTTATCTCTATGACAAAGGATGTGCCCAATATTTTTATGCAAATCTTAAAGCTTCTCTTTGCCATGAATCATGAAGTTGCTGAGTATACCGTCCTTGCTGTTCCTAGGATACTTGCTGCCTAGCCAGCCCTAGCACTTCCTCGCACAGACACGGAGCTCAGCCAGAACATTTTGTTTCTTTGTTTTCATTAATAAAGTGTAAATGCGACTCTCAGCATGTGGGCTCTTTACGACTGTATCTGCTAAATGGAGATACTCAGAATGCCTTCTTGTTAACAGCGACGAAACCACGAGAAGTGCTGTGCTCCTGAATGGTGGAAACCCTGAGGAGAAGCCTCGTGCTGCTCAGCCATGTCTCTGCCCTTCCGCAAAGAGCTGGAGAAATACAAGAATATCAACGAAGATGAAATACTCAGTAAACTCTCGGAGGATGAACTGAAACAGCTAGAACATGTTCTGGACGACCTTGATCCTGAGGTTAGTGGCGAGGGCCAGGGGACTAATATTTCGAATGCTATTGACTACCTATGCCATGATCTGCTGCATTTTCTATTTGCGTTGAGCCACGGGAACGCAGTGTGCTCGGAGGGATGAACAGCTCAGCCAGGGGCATTTCGGTTTTCCTCCTGCTCTGATGGGTGATTTGCTTTTCTACGAGTTGCACTGTCCCTTCCATCCCTTGTCTATTTAGTCACGAGCTTGACTGGGCCATAAATCTTTAATCATGTTTGTACACAGCAGTAGGATGAGATGCTTTATATGGCTGCTATTTCTGAGCACCGCAATAAGCAAATAAATTTAATGGGCGTTTGCCAAGATCAGATCTTTTGAGTGTCAGAAATCTGTTGACTATGTCATTCAACACAGATATTTTTAATGAAGAAAATATATTTAGGCATGATTTAGGGAAGGCAGACTCAGCTTAGCAGCTGTCAGTTTCTAGAGAACAAGGATAATGTGGATTTTGAGGAGAATATTGCATAGCRCCCGGGCATCACTCTGTCCTGCAGYCATGGTGAAGGGCACGTGTTCTTGTGGGAGGTCTGCCCCCATCTGCCACAAAAGCTGCCGAGATGGTGTAGGAGTTCAAAACTCAGCATCAGAATGACATTAACTTTTTGAAAAAATGAAAAGAGAGAGGGGAAAATGGGGAAAAAGAACAAATCAAGAGAGGAAAGCTACAGAAAACATTTCCTGTTCTCACCTGGACTCTAAACTTTGTGGTTGTAGGGGGCACAACAAAAAGGATTCTCATCTTGCTCCGCTCTTTGGTGCTGGAATTGTAAATATGGTTAGCAAAAATATTCCCAGCTGGCACGAGTGAGAAGCCTGGAGAAGATACTATTTTTAATGACTACATTTGAATAATGTATATAACTGCTGTCACCAAAGAGCATTATGTGAAGCAACATGCAAATAATAGTTTCACTTAAAAAAAAAAAAAAAAAAGAAAGAAATTAAATGTGGGGCACTATATGAAACTCCACCATCTCCTGTGTGTCTGCAGAACGCCTTGCTGCCCGCTGGCTTCCGACAGAAGGACCAGACCACTAAAGCTGCCACCGGCCCCTTCGACCGGGAGCGGCTCCTCTCATACCTGGAGAAGCAGGCGCTGGAGCACAAAGACAGAGAAGACTTTGTGCCCTTTACAGGGGAGAAGAAAGGTAAAATCTATGCTTGGGTCCACAAGGAGCGYGGAGCCACCCCAACGCGGGGATGCAGGGCAGGGCAAAAGCTGCAGCGGGGCAAAAGCCGCTTGCGCAGCGGGAGACTCTTGAGCTGGGTCCGAGCTGCTGCTAAASGACATCAAATGATGGTTTATCTGTGCAGGGATGGTTTGTCTGGCTACTCGGAAATTTTGGATGAGGCCCATGAGGGAGACTGGGAACACTGACACCAACCCAGCATAGGGCTGGAGTAGCAGCTTCCCATGCAAATGCCTCTGCCTAAAGTCCAGCATGGTTCTGGGGAGCTTCATCTACTTAATGGAGACTATTCCTAAATTAAGCCTCAGGCCCATGCCTGGGTGCATGTATTATCTACAGTCACCCTATGTAATAGTTCAGAGAGTCAACTTGAAAAAAAATAAGTATTTTTCCGGTTGCTTACTAGTACATCTGGCAATGCTATTCCCACAGTCAGTTCCTCTCTTTCCCTTTGTCCTACAGCTACAGGGAAAAGGGGAAAAAAAAAAAAAAAGAGAGAGGAAAACAGGAATTCTGTTTCTAATYACTCAAACCAACTCATTGGTTGGGTATTCATAAGGTCATCACAGTCATATTTTTTAAGCAGACAGGGCTCTTTTAGCACCATCTCTTTCCTCATCCGTATACAGTAGACAAAAACACCCACCTCAGGCCACCCTTTCATTCAAGCCCTTTCCCAAAACATCCAGTTAATTTCCTGTTATTTCCGTGAGACTTGCTTAAAGGTAAGCACATATTCTGAGACAGTCAAGAGCAACATATTCTACTTTATGTGTCATTACACATTATGTGTCATGTTACAAAGGATATAAAATGTCATTTTCAGCCTAGGTTGCTGTTGCTATCATTACATTGTATTTTCACTCTTGAAACGATGGTTTTAGAGAATACAGTTTCCAGCCAGATCTGATTACAGCATTATTTTATCCTGCCACACATTCATTTTTCTAGGTTTTCCTCCATCATTACTCATGCAGCTGTGTTCTGTGCTGTGTTCACAGAACTGGCTTTGGAAAAGCCTCTTCTCACTCTGAGCGTGGTGTGTTGTACACTGGTACTCATGTCTCACTGGTACTCGCTGGTACCCTCTGGCTTGCCCGGCACAGGGTTCCTATGCACTGAGCTTGACTTTGCTGCTTCCCCTCTTCTCCTTTCCCTCGCTCTGCRCTGTGAAGACATCATGATTTCTAAGGCTCAGCATCTGAGTCTCAGAAAACATATGACTGCAATCTCCATATGCCAAATAAAAACATACTGAAATATTCCTGCAAGTTGTGTGATAGTTCTGCTGATGAACTCTGCTSAATGCTGCCTGAAGGCCGTGTGTGTGGCTGCTCTGTGTCTACAATCAGAGCTTCAAACTGCAGCATTATTTGTTTTGGCAAACTTGACTGAAGGAGCAGTAACGGAGTGACTTTATTAACATATCAGTGASTTGGCTTTCATTTCCAATAAGCTATTTCCTGTGCAGCTCAGTAATTAGTCCAGGATAAATAATTTACTTTTGGAAAATGCATCCTCTAAGGAACTCTAGAAGAATATCTGTTGGAGAAGGCATATTTTTCAGCCTACGAATAGTGATACACTCTAAAGTACCTTTACAGTTTCATAAATATTGATAAATAAATATACTGATAAATATATTATTACATTAAATATGTCAATAAAAGATTTCTTTACCTTATAGTAGCTCTGYAACATAGCCATCCTGTAAATAGTCCCAAATTAATTTTAAAGGAATTCTGCTAGTTAAAAATTAAGCACCGGGGCAGCTCTAAAAAGCATATGGTCATGTATAAATAGAAACAGGAGGTGTAGATGCCAATAGAACATTTGGCATTATTTCCCACCTGAGGATATTTTTGTGTCAGTAGCATTAGAATATGTCAAGTGTTGTTTCATCTTTTGTCACCATAGTTTCATATTTGTCTTCCAATGGAAAAAAAACATATTTTCAAATTTTGGAAGTSTGTGATTCATCAGAGTCTGTGATTCTGTGATTATTTTTTATGCAGTGTCTCTGCTTTCCTCTTTTTTTTTGGTTAATGTTTGGCTGATGTTTTGGTTAATGGAGAGTTCTTGAACAAAAGAAGTACCAAACAGCTGCTGAAAGACATATTTCAGTTGTTGGTCTTTATATGCTCCATGCAACCATATGGTTTTGATTGTGCTCAGCAACAAGCCAAAACAAATTTCAGGGTTAATGGAGATTGGAGAGTGGTTAGAATGCAGGAAGTGTTAAATATGACCTTGGAGGAGTTGGTCGTGCAGGAATCACCTTGGTTTTGATGGTAATCATGTTTTTGAAAGGTTTGAAGTGTTTGGCAAAACAACCAAACGTATGGCCAGCGTTACAGTTTTGGTCCTCTGCCATATTTCAGCTTGGTAACTTCCCAAATTAATGGCTGTACAAAAGGAAGATTTTAAGCCTGTGTGGGATAGCTCTTAGATTGCAAGGAAACCCCCAGCCCTGTGCTGGGGACTGGAGAGTTGACAGCGCGACTGGCTCACACCTGAGCAGGCCGTCGTCCGCAGCGCCTCAGCCCGTGTTCGCAGGGTCCCCCGGRCTCGCAGGCAGCTGCCTCTGCCCAGCCGGCCCCTCCAGGAGCCTGGCAGCGGGTACCTCACTTGAGTGTCCCCRTCACCAGTGTCTGCTCCCGTCTGTCGCATGCAAAAGCTTCGTGGCTTTCAGGAACTGTTGTGCAACACGGCTCCTTAATCAGCCCTTCCCATAAACAGCGGCTTCGTAATTCATGAGCAGAGGGAGTGAGCACCCAGTATTGTAGCCATAGCGATTGGCAGTTTGGAAGTGTTTGTTTTGTGTATTTGCTGGCTTAGTTCCTATTTATGATGGATGCTCTCAAAATGAATTACAGCAGTTATGCAGACTGACTCACTGCATTTAACATATAAAGCTAGAACAACTGGTTATCCCATTGAGATCACTGCAAAGCCTCTTCTCGGTTTTGTCTGATCTTCTGTACCATTTGCAAGTTCCTGAAGGGTTAAGGAATAAAGAGGAAAGCTTGGGAAGGTCAGGTGGGGAAGAGCAAGCAGATGTTACAGCCCCAGAATGTTAAACAGCAATATCAATGCTACATGACTATTATGAGAGGATTTAGAAATGAGAATGCATGAGATACTATTTGAGGCAGAAAGGTCTGAGAAAGAGGAAATGATAATTACATACTCTAGCATCTCAGTTAGACAACTTTTTGGCAGTTGTGTCACATCCTCTTGTGTGACTGTCCCCAAACTGTTCAATTTAGAAAGAATAATAATCGTGTGTTCTTTGCTTATCTCTGTTGTGACATGTCGGAGGCTTTTTCTTACTGAGTGCATGTACATCTGATCTCTGTTAAGATTTGAGTGCTACTGTAATATAAACATATACTATTAACAATATTTCTGTTTCTGTTGCAGTGGTTCTCTTACTGCATGATACTACTGAGATGTAATTGAAAAAGAAAGTCTTTAGATATTAAAAGTTGGCTGTGCCTTTTTTAATTGCTTTAAGGACTGCTGTTTCAATCCTTCAGAATTATCCCTGTTTTCTACAAGGCCTTCTAATCCCTGCCAAACCATTTCATTTTGGATCGGATCCAGTTCTCATCAAAGTCATGGAAAAACTCCAGTGGATTGGGCCACTATTATTTGTGGCTGGAAAAGGAAGGGGAACACACTTGCAAGTGATTAAATGCTAACATTTTCAGCTAACTGATAAACAGAAAAAAGGAAGAAAATAATCAGGATGCTTTTGGCCAAACCTGTTTTAAGTTGCTCCGGCAAAGATAAACCTATCTCACGTGCTGTGCTGGGCCAGGCAGAGTATCAATACTCAGCACTAGGAATAGTGACAGGCATTTGCAGGTGGCCAAAGTAGCGTAGTAGATGTTGACCATTTCCAATTTCTGTTTCTGTAACAGATTCTCTATAAAACCAGTATTATTTAACTTAGAGACTTAGCTTTTTTTTGGATTGACAGAGGCAGCTTTTCATTCCCAAAACTTAAAACTAAAATGCCTAAATTTTTTGTCACCTTCCTCCTGTTCTTTGAGGCTTAAAATTTAGTACTGAGGTTATTCTCTTAAAACCTGAGAAGCGCCGCTGTTGCTGACAGCAATGCTGATGGCCAATGTCTTTTACTGCTTTCTTTCATAAGACCCTGTTTTAGTTKCTTAGGACTTTGCCAAACTCACACAGTTCACAGTGAAATTTCCCATGCTGAGACTCTGCCTCAGGCCGAATTTTTTTAGAAAGTGTCAGCAAAAAGGACTCAGCTGTTTCCAAGAACAAGATTAGGAGAAAACACATTGTTTTAGCCATGTAATTTTTTCCAGATGTTTTTATGGGCTGTGGTGCCTCCATACTTTGAAGAGCGGACTTGAAACATGTGCCCTCTGCACTCCCCAGGGACACCTACTTGAATTTGGCAGCTGGAAAAATGTGGTTCTTTCTTGTGCATCTAGTTTGTTGTAACATTCTCCAGATATTCCCCCTGCAGTGGGTATTAGTCATGCGCAAGATGCTTCTGCCCCACGTGCTGGCTGCCCCCTGCAGCCGGCACTGTCACGGTGCCCGTCTCCCCAAGGAGGCCGTGGCGGCACCAGCGGCAGGGGGACACTCGCCAGGCCACACACAAGAGGACGGGGACAAGTTATCAGGGGCAGGGTGGTTTTGCCCAAGTTTCTGTATTCTGCAGTGTGCCAGCAGTGGCAGAGCTGAGTCCGTCCCCCTCCACTCTCCCTGCACGCAGATGGAAGAGCTTTCGGCTTCTCTCGGTGCCCAGGTTAATCCCGGGGTTAATCCTGAGGACGGCTGTGGGAGCACAGGGATGCTGATTGCTCTGGTGATCCACATGAGAGTCTGAAAAACATCTAGTATTTCTTCCGTTTTGCAGGTTAGGGGTTGGCTTTTGCCTATTGTTTGAGAAAGGGCACTTTCCAAGAGCACTGTGGTTAACATGGCAGAAACCAAAGATGTTGATCACAGTCAAGGCTGCTGGGCAGCTCGACTTGGTTCTGGGCTCATATGCACAACAACAGACTTAACAGCTCTGGAAAGCTTATCTTGCAACCTTCCTATTCCTTTATCATAATTTTTTAGGCATTCAATATGCAGTCAGTAATCCAAAAGTAACAGTAGAGCAGCAGTTGTGATTTGCGCTTTAATTGCTACTAGCTTGCAGCTTCAAACTTATTTGAGCTTGGCCTTTTTTCTTGTTTGTAATTCAAATGTATTCCTAGTAAGAACTAATTTAATTACCTTTTCATATAATATTTGTAGAGAGAAATTTGAATAAGTCTACAAAGGAAAGAATAGTGCAAATGGAAAAAGTGAATGTGTGTCTGTGATTTCTGCAAGGCAGAATTCCAAGATTATTGAATTTCACTCCTAAGGCAGTGCAGCATTCTCAGCTAGGAGCTGAGAATAAGCAGGAGCTCATTCTAGTCAATCATTCATGGAAAATAAGAAGTAATGAATGTTACCAGATATTTTCTTAAACGTTTAAAAATCTGATTTACCATTTACAGGAAAAGAAAGTATGTTGTAATTTTACAATTATGGTGAAAAATATATCTGTATTTCAAAACTAAGTAAAGGTCTTTAATAAAACAGAGAAAGGACATTTTTACAGGTAATGTCACTGGACTTTCATCCCATTGCAGTGCACTTTGTTGAGAAGCAGGGCAGAGGGAAGACAGACCAGAAATCATGTTACAAATGCTATGAACTTGAAATGAACATGAAATCCTCAACCTGACTTTTTAGTTAATTACTGTTGTACAAGAAGGTAGAACTAGGGTTATGTCTAATTTCCTTGCTTTGCTTCAGTTTTGCTTTAAAGGGGATATTTGTATAATGCAGGAAATCACGGTCAACTGAAACCCAGTGGCTGAACCATGCCAGTGACATTATGGCTGTACCTGGTGTTTCTTCTCTTCCTAGTATTTGTCTTTCTTTTATCTCACTCTGCTTTTCTTAGTTTCTCTGTATTTGTTTCCTTTTTATTGTGTCTTTCTCTCTGATTTCAGTGTTTTTTTTTTCCCCAGTCTCTTTTGAGCAAAACATGAACCGTATCATATTTCACTTTGAACACAAGCTGTGCAGTGTGTGACACTGGAACAATCCACTATTGTACTGAAGCCCTACAAACTGCTACTTGTGACACCCACAGTCAGAAAGTCCCCTGGGTTATTTAGGCCACTCAGTCGTCACTCAGGGCACCACAGGCAACTAGCCCAGTTCAACAAAGGACAGGGAAAAATCCAAGGAATTGCTTTACGCTGACAATTTCGTGTTCAAAAAAAGCACTCTGGATTCCAGATATTTTGGATTTCTGTATATGTGTAAAAGTGCAATGGTATTTTATGGCTTACTAGTCAATTTTTACTGAAATGGAGATTTGTTTTGCAGTTAAATGCATGAGTACAATTTTTTTCCTGTATATAAATATACTTAACTTAGTGTTATTAACATTGAAGCTGCTCAAGTATGACATGTAAAAACATAACATGGCACTAAATTTTTCATTGGTAGAAACACAGAGTATTATTATTGATACTCAGTTCAGAATTTTAAGAAATTTGGAGGCAAATGTAGCACAGCCAACATTGTTCATATCACAAGGAATGTTCTAGGAAAGCACCTTCATACCACAAGGATATATAAGAATACTTTATACAACACCTTCAATATAGCATGAATATAAACAGCAATATACCAAGAAGAGCAGCTTTCCTTCATAAATCTCACTTGGGGAAAAAAAAAAAACCAAAAAAACCCACAAACCTTATTCTTCCTAGGCTTCAAAGCATGCAAAACTAATACATTAAATTGAAGCTATAGTACAACTACAAACTCACGCTAGGATCACTGAAAAAAAAATWAGTCAAAATCCGCATTTTATTTTGCTACTGAACTGCACGATGTTGCTACGTTCTGAATTTATGATGGATGTGGGACCAGGAGGCACCACTTGTATCTTTAAACTCTGTCTTCAAAATAACAAAAGAAAACTGGTTGATAGCTGTCCATAAATACAAGCACACACTTTTGGCCTTGGCAGAAAAGTGATTATTTTCTAATTATGTACCAAATGCAAAAGCTCTTTTAGCCTGTACCTAGAATGCTACAAAATCTCTTCACAGTGGGCTAATGCAAAAGCAGGTTCTTATCTAGATAGCTGAAAAGGAATATTTTTATAAAGGCATTGGATGCCAGCAAGGCCCCCATATATTAAAGATATATATTATCGTCTTAGACATGACCTTTGCCTTTTAAATATTTCATCTAACTAGTAATAGACTTTTTTTTTCTGAGAAGTTTGCCAAGAATGCTTTAAATGAAACTATCACTGAGCTGACACTCAGTGATACACATTTAAAAAAGACTTTTTTGGGCTGACATCCAAGAATTACACATGCCTGAAGCAAATGCTTAAACCTTGTGCTCCGATACATGTGGACTGCCTGGCAAAAGTACAAACCCAAACTGTACTAGTTTCCATTAGCCCTACATTTCGTATATGCAATATACTTGGCCCATACAGTTCCAAATTACATAGGGAAGCACCAGCTGAAATATTTACCATGTTCAGGTTACTGAAGACCTGGCCTCCTGTGTCCACATCAAACATTATTTAGGCTGCGCTTGCATCAGTTTGAGATTTGGAAAGGGAAGCGTCGCCGCTGCCTAGACCGTTTTTAGCAAGGCAGGGGAAGAGAGGCCCTGGAGAGCTGTCCTGAGGGCTCCGGGACTGGACAGCGCGGCCGTGGAGCGGGGAGCAGTTGCCTCCCTGCAGATGGTGTCTTGGAGGCTGCCCTCCAACCCCGACGTGGTGCTGGTGCTGGGAGACTTTAATCCTAGCCCTGTCACTGCTCACCTACCTTCATCCTCAGTGCATTCCTCACCCCAGATTTCCACTTATCTTTTGTTTGTTATCGCTGTCTCTGATTCATATCACCTAGTGAATGGTGAAATGATTTTTAATTTCTGGGCTATAAATGATTTTAAAGCCTCCTCATAAAAAAAGCTAGCATAAAATATCACAGGAAAAATAATCATAAAATACACTACTATGTTTTTCTACATCACCTTCTATCCAGTTTTGCAGACAGGAATTATTTCACCTTGGTACAAATATCTCTAAGGTAAACAAGTCAAATTCTACATCGGGAAGCCTTAAGAGAGCTTCAGAAATTTCCATTAAAGTATTTTCTGGGCCTATCCAATGATCCATGGAAGCTTACCACACAGAGATTGCTGCAGACAGGCTTGCAAGGAGAGATGAATGAATTGGGTATTATCTACATAAAAATTATACTTAGGTCCATAATGGGAAAAGATTTAAGTCACAGAAGGATGCCAGTGTTGAAAGGCCAGTGGCAGAGGGTCTGTATTTCAACACTTAATATCAGAATTGTATTTATTAATTGTGAGAAAATAACATCACTGAGACAGTGAAAATAAAACAATTTAAGAACCATTTCAGGAAAACACAGGATGAGCTTCAAGCATTCCAGTCAGATCATACAAAGCTGTACAACAGGACAATTTTAAGCTAACAGTGGGTCAAAGCTACCTGCATCCAAAGAAGTTCACAGCTTCATTACAACGGCATTAACTAAAGCTTGCTTGAAAGTTACTTGTAAGGGACAAAGAGGAACCACTCAACTGTGGACAGTAGAAAATGGAAACTCACACAATTGTCAGAGCAATGTCACCAGCATCAGATTCTTGTTAAGATCCTAGTATTAAGGATAGCACCATGTAAGAAACTGAAAAACATGCACTCAATCTACCTCCAAGCAGCTCTGCTGTCTCAGACCCATTTCATCCACTGCTAGTGGCAAGTGAGTTGTCCTAATAATTCATCTCTCATCCTGACTTTTTTTCTTCCCATAGGAAAAATATTTATCCCTAAAGAAAAGCCCATAGAAACTCGTACAGAAGAGAAGGTAACCTTGGATCCAGAACTAGAAGAAGCCCTGGCCAGCGCATCAGACACTGAGCTCTATGACCTTGCAGGTACAAAAGACCGATCTGTAGTTCCTAAGGTGGCTCTCAAGGGGTTCATGTCATGAGTTTGCCATCTGAATCCCTAACGGGGAAGAAGGAGACCAGCAAGGGCCTCCCAAGCCAGAGGGAGGCCACTATGGATCCACTGTATCTCCTGCCTCTTGAGCCCAGGCCAGGCAGGTCCTTCCCTTGGCAGTGTGAGGTGCATGCTTTATGGCTCTTGTCTATACAAGAATTCAGTGGGAGAATTTCAACTCCACCAACAATTTTCTGTTTTTCATTAGGAAAATCTAAATGAAATATTTCAACATAGACGCTTAATCTAAAGCACTTTTGGGGGGTTAGATCAACGTTAAACTTAAGTTTTTGAAGAGTTTATTATCTCACTGAAGGACATTATCTCACCGTTTTCGTCTGTGATTCTTGGCTACACCACATATTTTGGGATGCATCGCAGTCTTGGCTCTGATCGATCCAGTGCGGTGTATCACAGGCCTCACAGATTTGAATCGCAGCTGGAACTTCTTCCACAGAACCAAGTTCCAGGTCTTGCTGAGCTCTGATCATAGCTGGCATTTCATGCCACAATTYGTAGGTAACAAAGTCTAATAAACAAAAACAAATAACACCTACTGAAGAGAGTGTTGAAAAGTCATTTACTTATGGAACAAAAAGTATTTTTCATAACAAAACTCTGAAGATAAAAGTAAAAATCTTCTAATGTCCATAGCCTTAATTCATGCATGATCTTGTAGAATAAAGTCCAAGTAGTTACTTAATCGGAAAAGTATCAGCAAGCATTGCATGATTTATCCGGACGCTGTGGAGTTTAATTTGTATGAAAGATGACTATGGAATTYGGGTTTCTTCTGTCATTTCTCTCATAATAGTTTATAACCTCACTTTTTTGTTTTTTGTGTGGTTTTGCGTGTTATGGTTTTTACTGTGAGTTTATAACCTCACAGTAATTTATTTGAAGTACTGAAATATGTTCTGTTTCTTCCCAAGGATGTTAGCACCATATGCTTCTATAGCATATGGTTGACATATAAAGTTAAACRCTTCTCAGTTGTGCCAGACAATAGAACAAGGAGCAAGTTSTTTAGGGGAAAAAGAAAAAGGAGAATATGAAGGTAGAGTGAAATGAGTTGTCCAAAGAAGGTGTGGAATTTTGGATGTTTGAACATCTGGCTAGACAAAATCACATCTGACCTCTATGTTAGGGTTAGTGCTGGCAACAATCTTCCTTGAGTGGGAAGCTGGATGAGAGGACCCTCAGAGGTCCCTTCCAGCTGACATTTCTATGATTCTGAGATAGCATACTACAATGATTGTTTTGTTTGATGACCAATATTAAAAATGTCTGCATTTCTAATATTGAGAACTTAAAGAGTCACCCAACAAGCCATCAAAGAGTCACAGTTTTATGAAGGTTATCTGTTCAGAGACCTAAACTACAATCTGTAGCAGGTACTTTTTTACTACATTTTTTTTTCTCCTATTAATATTGTATTCTGTGCTGTTATGTACATTTGTAGCTGTTCTTGGTGTGCACAACATGGTCAACAACCCCAAATTTGATGAAGGAGGAGCCCGCAGTAAAGATGGAAAAGGAAGTGTGAGAAGTAAGCAAGCAGATTTCTCTTGTGGGCTACATGTTRTTTTTAGGGAATTATACAGATACAGGTTGGGTCTATTGGTCTAATTTAGTTCAATGTAACTTGGCCTTTCTTACCATGATTTATCCAAATGATCATGAARAGGAGCTCTTTATAGTAAATATAATCTAAAAATTCATTATAGTGACRACAACAACAAAATGCAAATTTATCAAATATATCATTCCCAAGGAACTTTGTGTTCCTAGGAAGCCACATCTAACTCTGCAGAGATGCTTGAAAGAGTGGGAGCATTTAAGAAGACTCTGTATATATATATGTGTATATATATRTGTGTGTGTGTATATATATATATGTATATATAAATAAAAATTCCAATTTAGTTTAGGGATGAGACAGAAAGCAGACTGCACTGTAGCTAAGAGGTGGCCATAAGGCCACACTGCAGGTGAGAGCATCTCACCCTGAGTATACGCATTTATGTAACTGAAGAATGACTTGTAACTTTTAGGCTCTAGCTTGGCATAATTACTGGCAAGGTCGTGTCTCTGGMCAAATTCACATTAACCTGCACTCAGAGTGATGCAAGGACAATATCATATTATTACTACCCTGGCTACTCCTTATGATCTGTTACTTCCACATCAGATCTACAGCAGCATATTCTTTAGGTACAGTCCACAGAAAGCATAATCACGCAGAAAAGGGAAAATAAAAGAAAGAACAGAAAGTAGGAAAGTAGTTATTAAAAAATAAAATCAGAAATGCAGTAAAAAAAAATATACTCTGGCATATCAGATTTTAGCTCAGCAACTGTCAGGAAGCTGAGCGGAAGAAACATGTAAGTGCAAGCTCCAAGTTTTTCTTGTCACAGACTTAAAAACTGCCAAGCCTTGATCCAGATCTCTTCACCCCTAAACTCAGGGATGTAAGCAGGCTAAACTTTGCTTTTCAAGTCAAAGTTGTAGAATGTTCTTTACTAAATTTACAGGAAGCAGTACCCCCAAAATATWTTTTTTTTAAATATCCCCCCAAAATAACAGCAGCTATCATCACCAATGGCTTTCATTTCCATCCTTCCCTAAAGGAAGGGGAGGTGGGAAAGAAGGCAGGACACGGTGTCTTTTCATTTTTCTCAGGACAACACTGTTCTACAACCCCCCACAGGGGGGCCCTGTACAAGCTGCCATCTATCTCRTAACAGGCAACTGCATGCACTACTAATCCACATAGATTTGGAACTATTTTTGTTGTACCGAGTCAAAATGCTAGCTATGTGAGTCTGCTAAGCTATGCTCCGATCACAGAGTTAACAACCAGAAAATCACCCTGTCAGATCACTTTGTTCTTTGGTCCAAAAGCAATACYTTTCCTCAGCCAAATGAAATGCTTCAGTAGAAGAAAGAAGGAGACACATCTCAAAAGTTGCCTGTTAATATGGCAAAACAGTACCACAATTAAAGAAACAAGATAAAACTCATGTGAAGCATGAATAAGTATAAGAAAAAAAGAAAAAAAGAAAACTACTGCTAACTCTGGACAAGGTATAATGGGATATCAAACCTGAGGACAAGTTCAAGGTCTGTCCCTGGCTCCTTGCTCAGCAGGGAGCAGTACTTTTTTCTACAAGGACAAAAATGCTGGGCTGTTTTTTTCSATTCTTTTTAGCCATGAATCCAGGGTGCGGTAAACAGCCTGAATGCATTTTACTGACAGTTTCTAATTTCCAGCTCGCTAGGAAGGCTGAAGTACTACGCATAKATATGTGAGATCTCTCAAGGAATTAGCAAAAATGGCTTGAGGTACAAGCAAGCAGAGCAAAAGCCAGCTCGAGGTTTATATATCACTTCATTTTCGCTAAGAGCATGGGCTTTAAGAAATASTTTGGTTTTGTTTTGGCCCATGATATGGAACTTTAACCATAGCATTGAACAGAAATGCATAGTGCTTTGAGACTTGAGCACAAGGCTTCAAAATAACTCACTGTCTGCAGCATAAAATAAAGGAGTTTAAACATATTTGTGGTCAGTTGGATATTCCTTTGTTGCCTCTAGTGGCTTGGGTGGTCAGTGTTTATAAATGAATCTCCCCAACTATATGCCTGGGAATTAGAAGTACTATTTGTGCTCTAAACTATGATTTTTATGCATTTATAGCTCATAGCTGCCAACAGTAAAGTTATATCTCTGAGGAGCACAGATACTCCAGGACTTCATAAATCCTGGTGTTGGCAGACAGACTTGCTTTTCATTCTTCGATAGTTTTATTATTTAGAAAGTGCAGATGCTGCAGTTTTACAAGAGCTAATTGAATTTATAGTAAGGCTGATAGCATCAGACTAGAGGAGGAAACTGAGGGGCCTTCTGACCGTGCTCCTTCACAATAGCAGAGTCTGTGTGTGAGGTGCAGAGACACTTTCCCACTAATGTAAGAAGGATGTTCGGAGGGAATCTTGCTGTGCAGATTTTAAGCTAGAAGCAAAGCAGCCCCTGCAGTGTATTACATTTTAGTCTTAAAAGCTGCTTTGGCTCAGATTAGTTGCTGTGGGACTTTCATGTGTAAAGGAGGATTTTTCCCTTGCCAATGCTGCCCAGCTATGGTGACTGCATTCCCAAGCGCYACGCTTCTGGAAGCACAGGAGGTGCAGATGGCAGGGCAGGAATATAAAGCTAATCCCCTGGGTTACAAGTTTTTTGGTTCTTGTAAGCTGTTGCTTGAACATTACAGTAGAAACCTAAATGAGAGTTGAAAGCCAGACTGTTTCTGAGGATGCCTCTTTCTCCTGTCAAAGTTTAACGAGATCTTGTGTTGCAGATGTGGTCAAAGGTGAGAAGGTCAAGCCCATTTTTGAGGAGCCACCTAACCCAACCAACGTGGAAGCAAGTCTGCAAAGGATAAAAGCAAATGATCCTAGTCTCATAGAAGTTAATCTGAACAACATAAAGGTAGATGCTGTGGTTTTGTCTGTCATCCTAGGAGGGTTTACTTAAGTATTTTCAAAATATTTAAGACTCACTTTGTCTTTTATCTTCAAATTTTGCCTCTTTAAGGTATAGGGAAAGCAGGACACAAAGGAAAAGGCTGTGGAGGGATTGCTGTAGAGGCTCCAAGGTCACCCATGGCTGCTGTTGCATTAGATGCTGATTAAAAGCCCAAGGGGTGATTCCCTCTGGCTGCCTTTCTTTAGCAGCTCATGAAGCAACCTACCTCCTAGGCGCCACATAATCATCACTGCCCTAATTCAATTAGCCCACACATGAGGGCCCCTCCAAGAGAGGAGAGGCTGGAATGTGCATCGTCTGAGCAACCAGCAGCGAAACAGGAGAGGAGCCCGGGGCTGGGCACTGCTTGCGTGAGCCTGGCCTGGCCAGGGGCAGCACCGAGAGCCAGGGCGTCCTCGTGCGCGGGTCTCCAGCRTGGCTCAGGGGCAGCCACCAGCCGAGAATGACACCTTATAGCTCTGAGGATGACTAATTGCATACTGTTGCACATGGCTATTAATCAGACAGTCAGGTAACAATTAAAACTGGAGTCTGATGTGACTGGCTTTCCTGACTACTGCATATATCTTTTTCTCTTGATGTAGAATATTCCTATTCCAACACTCAAAGAATTTGCAAAAGCTCTGGAAAGCAACACCCACGTGAAGACATTCAGCCTTGCAGCTACCCGAAGCAATGACCCTGTAGCTATTGTAAGTATAAACACTGTTTGGAAAAAAATATCCATTTTCAAGCAGGCTTATGTTTGCTGTAGCACGTATCCTGCGCGTTCCCTTGCAAAATGTTCCTATGACAGTACATATGGCAGGGTAATCTATTCTGTTCCACCTCTGTTATTTTGAGCTTGTTTGTCTAAGCCACATATTGCAAATTCTCTGTTGTTTCCTGAAGCTTTCAGGAATTTGATCTCATATTCCCTCTTTTCACTCCCTCAGGCATTTGCAGATATGTTGAAAGTGAACAAAACACTGAAGAGTCTGAATGTAGAATCCAATTTCATCACTGGGACGGGTATTCTGGCACTGATTGATGCCCTAAAAGAGAACGAATCYCTGACAGAGATTAAAATTGACAACCAGGTAAAGAGAGAGCACTGAACCTGAGTCCATTTTGATTCCCTTCTAGGCAGATTCCATATATTCTCCAAAGCATCTGGCAAAGGCAAGGCAGCCTTTCATGGCTCACTCATTCTGCAGCTCACGTCCCATGCCCATGCAACTGAACAGTGGTAAACATCTAAATAAAATTGGTCAAATATAAAAYTCAGAGCAAAATCTCCAGAGATGAGATTCTTTGGAGTATGATATTGAAATATAACCACTTCTATTTCTCTCTCTAATAAATATTTTCTTTGGGGGGCATTTCATTTCATCACCAACAGAGGCAGCAGCTGGGCACAGCTGTAGAGATGGAGATTGCCAAGATGCTGGAAGAGAACTCCAGGATTCTCAAGTTTGGATACCAGTTCACAAAGCAAGGGCCAAGGACCAGGGTGGCAGCAGCTATCACTAAAAACAATGATCTGGGTAAGATGCCATTACATCCACTCACCATTTGTTGTTCTGAGCCAAACCCCAACTTGTCTAGACATAAGTATTCCTGCCTATACATAAGACTGATTTTTACCTGTGTAACATCCAATCTGCTGGAATAAAGGGCTGATGCCTACCGCCATCACCTCAGGAGTTGAGAACAGCAAAGATCTTGTTGTGATTAAGAGCTGCTCTCCTCCTTCTCCCACTTGTGCTGGGAAGGTGAGCAAAGGCTCCCATGGGGCACCAAGGCTTCCCAGCTGCCCAGGCAGCTCTTCTGGCCTGTAAGGGGAGAGAGCCAAGCCCGGCCAACCAGGGAACCAGCAGAGCTCAGTTGCCTGAGTGACCAAACACAGGCAAAGACCATTATAAATAAATAAACAAAACATAAAGCTTTGCAAGTTCTGCCTGAGTCCCTGCAACGTGCTTTGCCCTGCAYGCTCAATACACAAAATATGGAGGAGCTGACTGGGCAGGTGAAGCTTACAGCAAAAGGGGCCCCTATGGGTTAGTAATCAATTGTGCTTCACCGTAGTGTCAAACTGTGCTGCCTTCACTGAGGCAAATCCTCACTAGTTTCATCTTGGGTTTCTCTCTGCAAGAACTAAGATTAAACCTGAGCTAGAATTCACTTCTTTCATTCAGATCCATTGCTTTAATTTTTAGTAGGCTACTTGTAGAAGCCCCTTCATTTCTCTTCATGTTACTGTAGAGTGTTGAGTGCTACTGAGCAGTATGCTCAGATTCTCAATAAATACTGAACACTCTTCCCTTCCTCTACTGGTGCAGTCCGTAAAAAGCGAGTGGAAGGGGAGCGGCAGTAGCCACGTCCGAGGGGGTGCAACGTGCCGGGAGGCAGCCAGCAACTGCAGTCTCACCGCTCAGAAGGGAAGGCACTGGAAAACCACTGTAATGGGAGTTGCTCATTTCCGTTAATGTCTCCTCTTAATCTTGAAAATGCAGCCTGGTCATTTTTACCTTTTAGTTAATTCAACTTTTATGAGAAGAATTGATYGTTGGTTTGATATTTRTGAAAAAAAAATGTTTTACAGTATCTGAAGCCAATAAGCAGAATGTTACAGTGTTACTGGCTATGATATATGGTGACATTGACCTTTATGCTAGACACTTTTTGCCATGTTAAAATATAATCTTGTGTATGGATAAGGAATACTCTGCTTAAAATGGAAATTCTAGGGCCAAGTCCTGCAATGCCTTATGTTTTTTGAATCATCCAAGCTCATGTCTGTAGTCCTGGGAATGCCGCGGGCCTCGCTCCTGCTCCCCACGCCGCACTGCAGGAGCTCTGCGCTCCCGGAGCCCTGTTACCTCGCACGGTCCCTGCCCACCCGCGCTGCAGAGCAGGACCTCGCCTAGGGGTAAGGCACTGTCAAAACCTACTTGTTTACATAAGCTGAGGTGGCTCATAACAATGTTACACTGATTGCTTAGCCTAACTCCACAATGGAAGGTAGTATTAGTGTTGCCAATTCTAGACACCTTCAATGTTAGCTTTTTTTCTAGTCCAGTGGTTTTTTATTTCTTACTAGAACGTACAGTTTACAGCAATATTTGCTTTGCTTTGAGCCATGTGTTTGACCTTTTTCAGTTCTGCTATTTATGTGCATTTGTTAGTGTCATAGAACTCAGGATCTTTTAGATGAACATTAGTTAAGTAGTTAATCCAGGAGAGCAGCTGTGCCACCAAGGAAAAAACATAGAATCATAGTTGTACCAACTCCCTGTCCTTCATTTATAGGGACCAGTTCAGGTTTGTCCTTGTATCATAAAGCACTTAGGTATTTGCATCAGGACTTAGCTGAATCAGGGCAGATTTAAGCATATGCACAAATGCTTTGCTAAATCAGGGCCTTAACTCAGTTCCTGTACATGTTCTAAAGCCAGTGGAAAACGCTTGTGAAGCAGCAGCTAACCCCAATGCTCAACAGCATTAAAATTTTAGTAGGGATTTAGTACATAATGTTTTATTTTATATATTTCACAGTATAAACCATTATTCTCTACCACTGCTTTATCACTGCCAACTATTGTCTCTGGTGAACATCCAGAGGTTCCTTTTGGTTAAAATTAAACATACTGAAAGAGTTTATGAGAAAAAAATAAAGAAAGAAGAAAGAAGAAGAAATCCTCCCACTGTGCCTTTTGTAAGGAAACGAGCAGGTCCACAGCAGCACCGTTCCTGTGGGATTTGGATCTTCATACTTTAGCCCTAACTAAATAATGTACACCCAGATACCACTTAAAATAATTTGCTAAAGTGGTCTGCTGAATTGTCTGAAGTACAGTATCCACAATTTATTTCACCGGAGAGCTCCCACGTCTTAGAGTTTCTATTTCTTCCTCAGATTGAGGCTAATACCTTTTGCTTCACAAGTGAAAAACACAACACATGAGGAGTCTTGCTGAGACTTTCCCTAGACTCGTGAAAGGTTTGCTGTGAAAAGCCTTGATATTCCAYTAAAAAAATTCAGGTTCTGTAAGAGTCCTAACTCTGCATGGTCTTAGTTAAGAAGCCTCATCTCCAAAGCCAAATGATTTTGGATGCTAACAAAATTCAGTGATTATAATCACATTACAAATATTTTCCTCTCTTTTTTTGTTTTCATCTAAACAGGCAAATCCCAAGTCCCTATGACCGTTCTTTTTTTTAATGTATTTTAATATTTTTTATTATTTCTTTTTAAAAAAATGTTATGTGTGTATGTTCAAGGGAAACAAGTGCAATCCATGTCTAGTCTTAATTGCAATTTAAAGTGTTGGTATTTGCATGCAGCAGTTCTGTAAGGCTGGACTGGTGCGGCTGCTCCATGCTGCCTGCAGCAGGTGATCCCGCACAGCTCTGCTCAGAGCCACACGAGTAGCTACGTTGTCGGGTGGCTCCATCCCTGTCAGCTACATCCCGGACCAAGGGAGCTGGCCTGGGGAGACCTSGTGGCTTTATCTTCCCTTCGCTGGCCCCTCTCCACACAGACACTGGATTCTTCTAAATGGAGGATTCCTCAGGCAGTTGAGCGCAGCATCTCAAACGGCTGCCCTGCTCTGCACTCGGCGCGGCGCCTGGCACTGGGCACGCATGAGGGGTCCCAAGCCCAGTCCCACTGGTTTGTGTGGCGGGAGCCGGCCTCCTCCRTCGTGTCCTCCCTCTTCTGCACATTCCACACAAAGGCCAGGGCATTCTCTGGCCTCAGGCATCACCAGTCACTCGCTGCAGCAATGCAAGGGTCTGCTCAGTGACAACAGCAGATCATCACCCTTAGTGGTGACAGCAACAGAGTTTCATATAAACTATACCATAGGATGCTTTAGTTGGTTAAAATCCCTGCAGCTGACATGAAAGGCGTCAGGATGTGACTAGCTCCTTTCAAAATTCCACTTTCAAACATCTGTTACACTTCCCATTGAATGGGACATAGGGACACGAGTCCATTTTTTCTTAAGCAAACATTCAGGAGTAACTTCGTCTACTTTTGCACATTGCTTCTCGTGTTGAYAGCTTTGGTTTGGTTTGTATTTTTTATACATTTTTTTTCCACGGAAAAGCTCAACATCGTGCATGTCCTAACATCTTTGTGTATCGTAGCGTGCGCTAAGGACAGTATGGTGTACATGTCAACTGCTAGATGAAGATGTTATCTCTGGAACAAAAACAATTGCATGCGCACAGTGTGGTGCATATTACTCAAAAGGAAGGGAATTACCACGCTATGTAACAGTGACTCCCCAACAACACGGTTTTTCTAAATAAATCTTCATAAAGAATCTGGCTTCTGTGATTTCTTGTGGKTTTGTGTCTTGAATTAAGTCTCCGTCAGTGCCTGACATCAGATTAAGCCGCTTTCTTCACTGTGGCTCTTGCAATTTTCACTTGGTCTGGATCATCTGCAAGCTTTAAGCTTCTTTTCCCCCTACACTGCAGGGCACTGGGCTAGAGGTTTTTGAATCACAGCAGTGGGCTCAGCCAGGCYGAAACAGAGTAATCTGGATTCTCTCTCCAGCTTTCCCGGAAGAAGTGACAAAAGAGAATCCTATGTTTCTCCAAAAGCAGCTGAACAGTAAGTTAACATCTCCCATTTTCAGAATACATCAGTATCTAAGATACTCTGGATCAGATTTTTATGATGCAGCTAGTTATCTAAAGCTGCACAGAAGAACCCGTGCGAATTCAAGAGTGACCATGCACCAACTACAATGTAAATTTAATTATAACATACTGGATTATGTCTTTACCATAAAGATTTGGCCCAAGTGTCCAGCACACTTTAGGCATTCGAGATGTTTTTGAAAATGATGCTCCATATTCCAAGACTACCCTTYTTTTAACAGGTCAGGGCTATAAAATTAAGTACACAGTGAAAAATGAAGGAGAAYGAAAAGCAGAACTCTTATTCCAATATACTTCATGTTTTCTATAGCTTTCATTTTGATTTTTATAACTCTGACAAATTATGTGACAAAGCAGTAATAGATTTCTCTAGACTGCTGTTCTTTCTTGACATAAATACAAATTCAATTTATTGCACAGTTCCTGCCATTGGAGCTGCAAAGACCAGACCTCATGTTTCCTTCATCATGAATTCATTTTTTCCAGAAAGCGAGAAAGACAGAGATTTCACAGTTRCACAAAATGTGGAATCCAATTCACAATTTTGGCTTTGGCATTTAAAAAACACATCAGTTTTTCCCACTGAGAATTATCTGTCATTGACACATCTGCAGTGGCCCTCATGAGAGCTGAAAATTTTCCAGTGAAACCAATAAAGGTTTTTTAAAAATAAGCCAGCCATTCTCCTATTCCTTATAAAATTAATGAGGTAATTCATCTTTTGATGTAAGCAAATTTAATCTAGAGCTACTGGTATTTAATGGAGAACAGCCAGTATGTAGTTTCTCTGTACTATATAGAAGCAAAATCTAGTCTGTATGAGCTTGGAAAGGGTAACTACTTACAGGGATGGGATGAAAAAGTAACGGCAGTCATAAGCCTAAAATTGGTATTGTCCAGTCAGGATCTTATGTCTGAAACATTTAGCACAAGCATTACAATCAAATGATCCCTCCCCTGCTCCTATTCACAAAGCCTACGAAATAGGTTTTCCAGGACTACTTATCTCCTGGCCTCACAGCACATGATGTCTCAGCAATTTTCCAGACTGCACCTCATTAGATTCTGACACTAAAAACATACAGCGATTCCTTCAGTATGGAGAGAGAAAGAAATACCAAAAATATCCTCACAGTAACAGGCTCTCTACAAGCCCAGGRAAACTACCCAAAATATGAACAGTTTTGGGAACATGTAGACAAAGCATGTCAAGCAACCAGGAGTCACCTCTGAAAATGCCTGGACTATTAAAGCAAGTCTTTGCACACCAGAGCATGTGCTAATCAACAAATGCTTTTTCATTTGAAAAGACATCTACAAACACTTGTTATGGATACAAATTTCTGCAAAGTTGCAGGTAGCAAGAAATCAGCAGTTCTTCCCTTCTGCAGAGGCCCCATGCTGTTAACTAGACCTGCCAGCCTAAGAGAAGTCACACATTATCCTCAGCTCATTTAGTCTGTGTGGCCACCAGAGCCATTGCCAGGCAGAATCAGAAACAATCAACAAAGCTATTTCCAGCATCACTGGAGGAAAACCCAAATGCACTCAACAGGGTGTCATTCACTGAGACTCATGAGGTTCCCCATTTTCACTGCATAGTCCTTCTCCATCCTCAATAAACCTCTCTTGCAATAAGACCAGCTGTCTTTCTGGTTGTTTGCACATTTTGCACAACTTCCAGGTACCAGAGGAGCAGTGAAGGATTGTATATCTCATCCAGGTATGGATAGAGCAACAGAGTGTAAATGCCAGCCTCCAGCTTCCACACTCGAGGCTTTTCAAGAAAGCTTTTTGCCTCCAACCCTTCTTTACCCAGAAGATTCACATTCCCTCCTTCTTGCTGGCTAAACAAGTCACAAGGAAAGAAAACACCTTCCCTGTCCGTTTCAAAATTGCCTTTATTTCTGTCAATATTTCGACTAACTCTGAAATCTCACAGTATCTTTCTACTTTTCTTCTTGCTCGCCAAGAAATTGATGAGAGACTTCAAGCAAATGTGGAAATATTTCACAATGAGAGAAGATGCATATCTCCATGTCCCAGGATGTGGTTCTGCTGGGATTTGCAGGGCCTAATATTGGAGGGAGTGATCATGGGAACAACRTAGCAGAGCTCCCAGCTCTGATGTAAGAGAGCATCCAGCTGCAGAGAGGCTTGTAAGGTCACACACTCCACTTCCTATCCCCAAGCTAGGATATTATTTCTACACACTTCGCAGCTTTCTCAAACAAAGGAAAAGGGGTCATCAAAGTTTGGTTTGGGTCCTGCATCTCCTTTGCCATATGGGTTGTGTTGAAGTCAYCTGGAATTCTGGCTATGAAGAGGATATAGGCCAAGGAGCACTGCTGYTCTATCCCATCTTCTCACTCTATAATTTTATTTTTAATTAGGAATTAGACTCTTCTCTTGTTCCTGGTTCTTTTCAGAATGAACATTTAGCACGTGAACAGCTGAAAAAATGGCTAATTTACAAAAAGAGGATTGATGCTATTCCTAAGGTTTCTGAGCAAGCATCTTCATTTCTCCGCTAATCCAACCCCACCCCTCCTCCTCCTCACCTCAGTGACAGCAGCGCAAGCGCACGCACACACAAACATACCAGGAGCTCTGTTTTCTACAAGGAATGCAAAGTCAGTGGATTGATATGGAGTGACAGCCTCACTGAAGCAAGTTGAATTTACTGCTGGCCCCTCAATTCCTGCTTCTACCATGCAAAAGGTTCATTGATTTTGTTCTTTCGATATATCTATCCAAAAGTCAGATGTTCTCAGTTTAAACTGAGATACAAGACAGGCAGTTCCAAGAAACAGAGGTGCAAGTTGACTAAATCCTCTGCTCTACTGAAACATCTCTGATTGTGTCTCTAGATGCAGCCAGGGGCTCTGCATTATGTGTCCAATATCACACTGCTGCCAAGCCTACAGAAGGCTGGCACCAAAATGCAGTCTGGGGAGAAAAGGCCACACATGACCCATGCAGCACAGTGCTGGAGCTGGGGGAACCTTGGACAGTAATCACAAAGATGCAGCTCCTGAACGAACACTAACTCCATTTTATTAGATATCAGCTTCTGCAAATCAAACATAATAACCAGGAAAGCTCTGTCATTCTAACCTCTGCTTAAATTTTGATGAACTCTTGATATAGAACAAGCAAGGGAAATATGGTCAGTGGCCCTGGAGATTTGGTATTCGAGGAAGAGGAGGAGGAGAAAAATAAATCACAGAGTTGTGCTCAGATGGCTCCCAGCCTCAGTAAAGTGTTTTAAATATTTATGCTTCTCTTGTCCATTCCAACAGAGCAGATGAGCACAAACAAAAGCAGCATGAGGGGCCTCTCTAATGAGGGTCTGCTCATAACCAGCTGCCTGACTTTATTGAGTCTGACATTAGGTGGACATGTTCAATGAGCAAGGGAGGGGAAAAGTAGGCATTCAGCTAGAGCAACTGCACGCACTGTTTTGCTCTCTGATAACACTATGATAATGACTGCATTGATATACTGAACAACAGAATCTGCMAACATTTCATACCACAAATTGTTCATTCTTTCCCATCTGCCACCAGAGGTGCAGGTCACTGCTAAACACTGCCTGGACTCCTAGTCAATCCATGCTGGTGAACACCGTCTGTGAGAACTACCCAAACTTCAGAATCCTACATTCATTCTCTCTCTCTTCCATGAGAAGGCTGCAAACTCATCAACTATCTAAATCAACATTAGGAGCTTTCAGAGTCATGGTGGAGGAATGGGTGCAAATAAATGTCTGAGGCAGCGGGATACTGGATTCCTAGTTAGCTTGTACCCCAGCACTGGGGACACACAGAACATGCTGGTGTTCAATCATCCTCTTTAATTAGAATGCTTAGAAGTTGAATATGTTTTCTTAGCAACAAATCACTCAGTTTTGCGTTAAGAGATACAGAAAACAAAATAAAACAGACAAGACATTAGCAGGAGCTGCTACAGAGCCCAGCCCAGGCAGCCCCCAGCAGCTGCCTTTGCCCACTAGGCGGCACAGTCACTCTATTCAATTGTGATTTTTTCTGCATGATTTTAGGCTGTTTTAGGGAAAAAAGTCACTAAATATGTCCAGCCTACCACAAAATAAGGATAACCCCTCAAAATCATCACCTGTAAGTTCTGGAGCTCAGAGCAGACTGTTACGTGCTGATTAAAGGCCTAGTGCAAGCTCTCCTCCACTTCACGGGCTCTACTTGAGCCAGCTAACTACCGTGGTATCTCCTTGAATTCACCATCTTCAGTGCTGGAATACGGCCAAGAACACCTTTTCTGATGTTAGACTTAGTTATCTTGCATTTAAGATGCTCCCCTTAGCACGTTTCCATGCTGAGCACCATTTCAGACGGGGAAAGAACAGTGCAGTGCCTCACGGTCGGGCAGAGCAGCGGGGCTGCGCGACTGCGCGCAGCAGCTCGGCAGCGGCCGCAGCAGCAGCTC